CCCTCTTTTCTTCCTCCCCCCCCCCCAAAGAAAGGCCTTGTTGGGGGCTGGCAGGTAGCATGGTGGTTAAGGATGCTGGTCTCCCATACGGCCAACTGCAGTGTGAGTCCTAGACCTGGTGTCTTGCTTTCTCACTTTTTATCTCTCTCTGTCCCTCTCTGGTCAAATTTAAATAAATAAAAGTTAAATAAAATAACCCTTTAAAAATGAAAAAAAAAAGAAAGCCCTTGGGGCTGGCAGGTGGCATGGTGGTTAAGGGTGCCGGACTTGGACATGGCCCACTGTGGTTCGAGTCCCTGACAGCTCGCTTTCTCACTTCTCTGTCCCTCTCTGGTCAAATTAGAATAAATAAATAAAGTTAAAACAATTCTTTTTAAGGGACCAGCAGTTGGCATAATGGTTGTCTCCCATGTAATTGACCATGGTTTGAGTCCCAGACCCGGTGGCTTAAACTCACGCCGGGCGCCTGTGTGTGCACGTGTGCCCAATATCCTGAGAGAAGAATAGAGGAAAAGGAATTGCAGCGTGGCCATCCCCCCTGGGGGGTGATTTCTCGCTTTCTGTCTCTCTGTCTTTTTGGCAAGCGCACATACCCTATAGCAAAAAAACTCTCTCTCAAATAAAAAAAAAAAAAGAGTGGTGTTGTGGGACCAGCAGTTGGCATAATGGCTATGCCGTTAGACTCCCACGCAGTCGATCAAGTTTCAGACCTGGTGGCTTAAACTCATGCCAGGCAAGTGTGCGTGCATGCCCAAGATCCCAAGAGGAGAATGGAGAAGAGATTGCGACGTGGCCATCGCCTCTGGGGGGGTAATTTCTTACTTTCTGTCTCTGTTTCTGTCTTTCTGGCAAGTACATGCTCCCTATAGCAGAAACCTCTCAAAAAAAAAAAAAAAAAAAGTTTTTACTACCTCCTGGTGAACATGGCGCAGAAATGCCCCCTACTGTTTTTTCAAAACCCCAACTTCCTGAGCACATGTGTGTGCATGCTCCAAATCCTGAGAGAATGGAGAAGGGATTGCAGAGTGGCCGTCCGCTCGGAGGGTGATTTCTCACTTTTCCTCTCTTCCTATCTCTCTCTCTTTCTCTGGTAAACTCATATGCCCTATAGCAAAATACCAAAAAGAAAATAAATCCTAGGAATATTCCCTATGGAATATGAAGACACAGGCTCTCAACAGAACCTGGAGAAAAAAATTGCACAGGGAGCTCATGATAGTATTTTCTGCTATGTGTTTGCCATATAAGGTACTTTATTTAGGTAACTATAATTTATTCATCTCAATAGCATCTGCAGCACCTGTGGATTTCTGTGAGGCTCTCCACCATGAACAGCGCAAGGCCACATCACCGAACGCTGTGATGTGATCCCAGGCCGCACACACCTGCTGTGCACGTGAGTCTGCAAAGCCTACCCGCAGGCAAGCCCCAGTGGCAGCCGCATCTCACCTGGGCCACTCACTCAGGCATTTGTGACAGACCAGTGCTGTGAAGTCAGGTGAGGTGGGTACCGCTTGCTCTTTCTCAGTCACCTGTAATACTAAGCACCAGCTTCCTGGGGTGTCCAGGGGTTCTAACCCCACCTCCAGCCCCCCTTGGTCAAGACAGGGACAGCAGTGTGCTGGGATCTGCAGGCATTCCACACGGCAGCGTTCCATAGTGACCTGCTCCCTCCCCTCCAGAGGTCAGACTGGCCCAGTCTGTAACTGGCATTTCTTAGGGCTGCCCTCCCCTGGCTCACTGCCCTTTGCCAGCCCACTTCCTCCCGTGCTGTCCCGCATCACCCAGAGGCCCTCTGAACAAGCCCTTATCCAGTTGGTTTGTGAAGGTCAGTGCCATGCTCTCTGGAGTCCCAGCGGTGCTGGGTGGAGTTATAAAGATGGATTCCAGACTCCGAGGAGTCTAGGCTTACAGAAAGGAAGGAGAGCAGGCAGGTGGGCAACTCTCAGGAGGCTTCCTGTAAGAGCTAGCTTCTGTGTGAGTGTGGAATCGCAGCTCTCAGGTGGAAGAGAGAGGAATCAGTGGCCGTGTTAGGGGCGAAGACATGAAAGAGTAGCAGCCAGGGTTGAGGAAGGGGGCTCGTGTCATGTGACTCAGTGCTGGAGGTCCTGCTCCTTTCTCCCACTTCATTTTCTCCTTCCACTCTGGAAGCAAAGGCTTCCACAAAGCCACCTCTACCCCAGGCCAGTGTCCCCAGACCGGTCTCTGCTGGCTAGGTGAATGAGGGAGCCCCTGGGCATGTAGGGATCCACCCTTTGTGCCTGCACTGTCAGCCCAACCTGAAAATGCATCCTCATCTCCAAAGTCCGCCCTTACATGGAACTCCTAGTCTAGGGGGAGAAAGGCAGTCAGATAATTATAAGGGTGTGCCAAGGTGGGGGGAATGGGACTAGAGGCACCGGACTCAACCCAGCAGAAACACTGGACTAGGGAAGGCCTGGTAGTGGGGAGGACACTGATGGGCTCCCAGAACGTCTCCCAGGCAGCCCAGGATGGGAAGGGCATTCAGAAATAAAAACACGCACACACAAAGTCCACAAGGGCACACGCAACCCTCAGGGAGGGCACAGAGTCGGAAAAGGAAAGAGCTGGGGAGCTGGGGGAGTGGAGATACAGGAAACTTCCTGGAGGTGGACTCCAGCCTGGGCTTAATCCAGGAATTGCTGAGAACCTCTGAGGTTTCAGGAGCAGGTGAGAGGAACCCAGCTGCTCTAGAGGAAGAGGTCTGGACAGTCAGATCCCGGGCAGTAGCAGCAGTCTGAACCGGCAAGGGCCGGGAGGCCAGGCGAGCTGACAGGTTCGGGGATGAACCTGCCCGATGACTCCAGGCACCCTGGGAGAGCGAGGCCCAGTGACCCATCCTGACTCACCCGCCTCTGCTTGCTCATCCCTTTCCCAAGCCTTCTTCCTTCCAAAAAGGCTCTTAAGAGACCAGCGGATGGCGTAATGGTTACATCACTGGACTCTCACATAGTCGACTGTGGGTTGGAGTCCCAGACTCATTGGCTTAAAATTCACACTGGGCGTGTGTGCATGCCCTGAATCCTGAGACGTGACTGGATGAGAAGGGACTGCTGTGTGGCCATCCCCCCCTGGGGAGTGATTTCTCACCGTCTTTTCTCTGGTAGGAGTGAGACCCTGTGCCCTATAGCAAAAATATCTCAAAAAGAAAAGAAAAAAATTTCAGGTCAGGTGAGCATGCCCAAGATACAGAAAGGAAAATGGAGGAGAATGGATTGTCGCATGGCCTTTCCCCCTGGTGGAGGGGGGTGATTTCTCACTTTCTGTCTCTCTGGCAAGTGCCCCATAGCAAAAATCTCTTTTAAAAAGGGTTCGCCATATAACCACCCTCCTTACACTGACAAGGGCCAACTTGAAACTGACCAAACCAGAACCTCAATTTGCCTCCACCCAGCAATGGGAGAGCGAGGCCCAAGGAGACAGACGCTGACCCTGCTGATAACCCTCCCCCTTCTCTGCAGGTCACCAGGACCAGGGTGGGTGGCTCCCCTCACCTTAGTTCCCATCTGGCAAACAGCGCTGGCACTGCAAAGGTACCCAGGTTGTTTAATGAAGCCATAAATGAGGGTCCCTGAACAGAGGTCTCTGCGCACTGAGTTTGCAGGGGTGAGCTCCTCATGGAGCTGACACTTATGCAGGGCACTCCTGCCCACCCTGGGGGAGGTCAGGACACAGATCTCTGCGTTCTGGGGTGGACAAAGCAGACCCCACAGAGTAAAGGCGCAAGGTCAGGAGCGCCAAGGCCACCGGGGACTGGCTGATGACGAAGATGCAGGCAGTTCTAGGCCCGGCTGTGGCACTGCGCGGGGGCCTGGATGACCCTGGGCGGCCGCTGTCCCTTCACCATAAGCCGAGAGCTTTGAATTAGGATAGGGCTTCCCCAACGCAGTTCATTATCCTAAATAAGCCGCTGGCGCAAAGGCCAGTTTTCACCTCCCACACCCTCACTATTTTTTTTTTTTAAAGCGTGCCACCCCACTCCCAAGCCATGCTCTGGAATCGCCCCAACTTAAGAAAACTTGGCTCGGTAAGGTCTCCTGTGCGAAAAAGTTAGCAAGACGGAAAAACTGGGCCCGAGCCCCGCCAGGCCTCCCGCGTCGGTGACGCCTGACCGCGCCGCCAGGACTCGGGCGTTGGCCACGTACTGGCCGCGGCGGC